TTCACAAAAATCTTCAATTAGCAATCAGTCTGCAGGCCTTAAAAGGTGCAGCATCTGTGTTGTTCTTTGCCAACATGGATGGAAGAGGTCTAAGGCAGATGAGAGTGAGAGTAAGAGCTAGAGGGGTCCGAGGAAGAGGAGTCCGAGTGCGAGGTGGAGGTATAGTTGGAAGGGCTCAGGTTTCTATGAAATTCAGGCAACTGTTATTGATCATGTTATCAATCATGGCCTTTCACTTAGAGAGGCTGGACAAAGAGTCCAACCTGTTCTAAACAGAAACACTGTCGCATCCATTGTCAGAATTTTTCGACAGGAAAACAGGTAATGTTGCTGTATATTATATACAGAAATATCTTCAGTGATATACTTTATGTAATTGTTTCCTCATTCCCATTACATGTATTCTTTATAGAATCCAAAGGCTACCATTCTCTGGTGGTAGAGGGAGAATTTTTAGTGCTGAGCAGGAGGCAGCCGTTGTGAACATGGTTGTGGCAAACAATGCCATAAGGCTGCATGAAATCAAGGCAGCAGTGATCGCAGATCAGGGCATGTTTAGGAACATCAACAAAGTAAGCGTGACCACAAATGACAGCATCCTAAGAAGGAACCATATGGCCATGAAGCAGCTCTATACAGTTCCATTTCAAAGGAACTCTGACATTGTGAAGGAGGCCAGATGCCAATATGTGGAGGTAAGCTACAGTATAATGTAATGCCTTGTCATATCATGCAGTTAGAGTCAACTGGAGTCACTTTTCATTGTCATTTTGCCTTTTTTTACTTAGAGAATAATGGAGCTTGAAGCTGAGGGGGCACATCATGTCTTCATTTATGTTGATGAAGCTGGCTTCAATCTCTGTAAAGTGAGGAGACGTGGAAGGAACCTCATTGGGTACAGGGCCACTATCACAGTTCCAGGACAGAGGGGCGCCAACATAACCATGTATGCTACCAATGATGGTGTCCTATGCCATATCCCCACTATTGGCCCATACAACACCGAGCGCCTCATAACATTCCTGAATGCACTTCATGACAGGCTGATCCCACCTGAGGAGAGAGAGGGCTGTTGAGGCCTGGCATGCCACTCTTCGTCATTATCTGGGACAGTGTGGCGTTCCACCACTCTCGCCTTGTCAACGAGTGGTTTGCAGTACACCCTAGAATGATGATGCAGTTCCTTCCAGCATAGGCTGACCAAACGTCCTCTTTTGCCCGGACATGCCCACTTTTCACGTCCTGTCCGGGGGGTGTTTATAAATTGATGATAATGTCCGGTTTTCCTTATAACAAAATAAGATAAAATAGGAAAACTTGTCTCCCTCTTTTATTTTATTTTCAGCGTTTAATCAAGGCGGAGGCGGGCGGCTGGAGGTCCGAGACTTCCAGCGAGGGGAGAGGTAGAAACAAACAGCCAGTGTGTGTCTGTGTGTGTTATGTTCAGGTGTTGTCACGTAAATAACAGTCCCCAAGCAATAAACAGGACAGACAATAGGATTTTATTTATTTTTACACTACATTTTCACTGAAAGCTGACCAAATCCGACCCGAGCCCGAATACAATTTATACATTTTTGACCGAACCCGGCCCGACCCGTCGGGTAGGCCTACCGTCGGGCTCGGATCGGGTAGCCACACTCTAGTGTGTGTATCCCCTATCTATCCCCCTATCTATAGGGGCCTATCTGAATTTCTGTCTTTGAGAGATATTATTTTGTAATATAACTGAATATTCTATCCATACATATAAACTTTAAATATATTAAAATTATAAGGCATCTTTGAGTAAACTGCAAGTATCATTTAAGTAGACTATCTCGTGGCCGGGCCGAGTGTCCTCTTTTTTGGAATTCAAAATATGGTCACCCTATTCCAGCATATTCCCCATTTTTGAATCCCATAGGTGCAGAGGAATGTCAAGGTTGGATAAGGCATGCAAGAAGATTTTTCCCTCGGTGCATTACAAGAGAGGATATTGAATGTGATGTGGATGAGGCCATGTGGCCCCATCGTCAAGACAGAAGAGACTGAGTATCAATAGTGGCTATTTCTTATACTCTACAGTATTTTGGTTTACATGTATTTTGTGTAATATTTACAGTATTTCAGTTTTCAGCCACAGTTTGAAAAAAAGAATCAATGGAATCAATAAAATTTGCATCAAAGCATTTCTGATTCTGGATCCAATTCTTTGCAAGAAGGCAAATTCGACAACAAATGGCACTGGCATGAAAGCTATGTACAGTAATAGGCTACAATGACAAGCAATGGTGCACTGATTTGCACTGAGTGCTGTATTTTGTTGTCCACTGTGTAATGGTTGATTGGAAGAGCTCATACACTTGTTTGCAAGTTGTGTTGTTTGAAGGCAAAATTTGCTTTTGTTTGCTTTTAAATGTTTTGGCACAGTTAGAGCCTTTTGCAAACAAAATGTGTCATTTTGACTATGAGTGCCACTGTTTGAGTTGACTGCTGCATCAAAGCAATCAAGAAAAACTGTAATTTCAACACCGGCGACAAGTTTAGGTTGCCACATCTGTTAAAATAATCGGCTCACTGCTGCCTTTTTTTTTTCTTTTTTGCTTGCTACTTAAATTACATAATATTACACAATTCTATCATTACAAAAGAATGAAAAAGAAAATAACAGTCTTTTAGTTTATGCCTTAACAGACAGAAACATACAGAGAGGCAGAGGAGGAAGAGTTCATGTGAGAGGTGGTGGAGGAGAAGGAAGGGGATAAGGAAGAGGCCAAGGTAGACAATCATTACTGATGAAATTCGGGCAACTATTGTATACCATGTCTCTGTTCATGGGATGACTGTAAATACACTATTGCAGAAGTCTGTCTTTCTGTATCACTTACTGGACTAAACTACTTTTTATCTATTTTTATAGAGAGTGTTTGAACTGGATTCCATGGAAAAGCCCCATGAATACATTTTCATAGATGAAGCAGGGTTCAATATGGCGAAAAGGAGGTGGAGAAGCAGGAACATCACTCTTTGGGCTCTAGTTTCGCAGACTGGGTGGGGCGGGGGCGCAGCGCACCTGCGCTTTGCCAACTGGGTGTGGCCAGGCGGATTTTGCAAGTTTGGCACACCGTGCGCCTGGTGCAGCTACTCCTCTTTTCCACCTCCATCCCTCCTACCTGCGCAAGTTGGAAAGAGGGAGGAGAGAAGGTGTGGAGTGGGTTTTACACACATTACACCAATCAAATGAGCCCCTCTCCTCATAAATGCGCCCCGCGAAGGCGTAATGAGAGTTTACTCAATTCACCATGGCAGAAGAGAGCAGCAGCGTCAGAAAGCCAAACTTCTCCCAGGAGGAAACTGATGTTTTGGTCCGAGAGGTCCAAGCTCACAGTGTATGAATATACGGAACTGTGTTAATCAAATCAGGTTGGGTTTCCATTACGTGTGCCAAACGTGCCAAACGGTGCCAATCCCCTTTGATCTGACATCGGATGTGACGGGACAGTCGATACAGAGATACATTTATGTGCTGATTGCAGATAGTTGCATTGAATAGTGGTTTTGGGTATTTATTGCATTGTTAATGTGCCTGATATTCTGGAAACCTGCCTGTGAGGTTTTGGTGAAGCCTTTTGGCATGAAACTGTCACTGCGTCAAGCTGGATCTGTCGACACCCCCCGCTGCGCCGCCACACCCATCTCAGCGCACCTCGGTCTGCCAAACTACCAAACTGAGCGCACCTCGGGTTGCGCTTCTCGAAACTAGCTCTGCGCTGCACCGGGAAACTAGAGCCCCATGTGACTGGGGGGTTCTCCACTGTCATGCAAACCTGGGGCCATATAACACTGAACACGTCCTTACATTTCTGGGTAGCCAGTGAGCACCTGGATCAGCAAGCAGTGCATCCCATGTATGTCATAGTTTGGGACAATGTGAGCTTTCACTTTGCTGTCCTGATACATGAGTGGTTCACCACCAACCAATGCTTCATCAAGGTTTTCCTTCCACCTTACAGCCCCTTCCTCAATCAAATAGAGCAGTGTTTCTCTGCGTGGCGGTGCAAGGTCTATGACCGACAGCCCTACACCAGGGAAACTTTATTGGAGCCAATGGAACAGGCCTGTGATGATATGAAAATGTGGAGTCTTGTCAAGGCTGGGTTACGGCACACAAGGTTTTTCCCCTGTTGTCTGGCAAGGGAAAATATTGCCTGTGACATGGATGAAGTCCTCTGGCTGGACCCGCACAAAGACATGATGTTGGAGAATGAATCTCAGTGACTTTGATTGTGCAGTAATGTGCTTTTCATTTGTTTTGTTTTGTTTTTTTTTTGATATGGAAGTGCTGAATATAGATATAACTTTGACTACGATAAATTTTTGATAAATGCAATTACAATAAACATTTTCTATTAACTATGTTAACTGGATGCTGTGTCCTAAATTATTTTATATAGTGCTAACGAATGCTCTGTGGTGAAAATAATTTTACTTGCTGTGTGTATGATCTAAACACATTGTTTGGTTTTGAACACAGGATAACTGGTTTTGAGATGATAGTTTGATGGTGATAGACAAGTTCAAAGTCTTTGGATTTGTGTTTAAGGTTTTGAGAAAAATGGGTGAAGGTTTCAAGAAATGTGTTTTAGCAATTGGGAAAAACTATAACTGCTTTAAATATTCTTTCCTATGTTTTATTATTATTTTACTGAACCAGATTCCTATTTTTTTTTATTTGGCTATATCTTTAATGAGTGGTCTACCTCCACCTGAATTTTCAAGTTAAAATACAGGTGGAATGAGAACACTTTGTCATGAAGAGGTCTGTGAAACAAGTTGATTTGAGTCTGGCTCTGGAGGAGAGTCTAAGAAAATATATTAAAATATTTTATGTCCATTTTGAGAATAACTGAAAACCTTAACAACTGAGTGATATAGTATGAATGGATATAATATCTAGTCTATTTGTGTCTAGTTATGTTTCACCTTTTACTTTTTCTTTTATTTCCTCTCCCACTCACCCCTGCAGATGGACAGTGCCTCTGAGTTGGAACACTGCTCAATTAGCTGGTTGCAGCTCTCCACCATGCCCTCTAGCTGAGCCTTGTCACAGGAAACACCCAGGAATCGGGCTAACTGTTCCACCAACGTCCCCAGATCCTGGAGAGGAGAGGAGAGAAGAGGAGAGGAGAGGAGAGGAGAGGAAGAAATTAGGGACTTATAAAAAATCTATGAAAGTAATAATCACACAGAAATACAAAGCAAACTGCCTCCCTCTTGAATTCTTAAATAATACCAAGGCAGTGATTCTGTTTCCCCAAACAGCATCCACCCACAACTGTGGAGAATACACAGTTCCCTTTGCTTACACAACCTATGTGTTGTGTAAGACTTACTGCAAACATACAATATGACAGCTGGAAGGACAAAATGGACAGCTCAGTGCATCATCTACAAACAGTTAAACATAGGCTATCAGTTTACAGACCTGAGTTGTATACACATGCATATGTGTGTTCAAAGCGGGATCACTTAGCTGTTACACAAATGATGGTTAAGTTTGTCTTTATTGACTTGTCATAAAAGTCTGTAGTTCTGCAGCAGTTCTGTCAGCAGTGCTAAAGGAAGTGGGTGAATTGTTGTAATGTGGGACACTGCCCAATGTGGGGCACCTCAGCTCCAGTGGGTGTAGGCTTTCCTCAAACAAATCAAAGTCAAAGGGTGCAATTCATTGTATTAACATGTCTCCTCACTTCCCTCACTCGCTTCCGAGCGGAGGAGGCGAGGAAGAGACGCGAGGACAGAGGATCCAGAGCTGCCACATTTAATCACCATTAAATATTCATTTTAAATCTAATTTATTTAATCTAATCTAAGTTATGATTACTATCCTAGTTGAAAGCTCTGTCTGATATCAGGTAAGCTTCTGAGTAAACTACCAGTCAGTTATTAATCATTTTTAGAAACACTGTGCAATAATCCAACTTCCACCTTCTCTTCCCTTTCCTTTCCTCTTTCTCACTCCCTCTCTCTTTTTATCTCTCACTCACACAGCAAGTAGCTTTATCATCAGCACTTCTAAGCTCAGGCTGTCTCTTACTTAGCTTTTGACCAGGAATATCTGTTTAAGTCTGACATATTTAAATCTGTCCAGACATAGTTAATGAAAAGTTATGTACTAAACATAAAGATACATAGGTTAGGTTAAGTCAAGTAAAGTTACATAGGTTAGGTTTAAGAAAAGAAACACTATTGGGCATCATCCAGTTACATGCTTAACATAAAGTTACCTAGGTTTGGTTTAAGAAAAAGAACATGTTTGGTTGTTGTCACGTTATCTACTTAACATAAAACTATGTAGGTTTGGTGTAGAAAAAAGAACATTTGGTTGTTGTCACGTTACATACTGATGATTACATGGGTTATATATGAATTCTGGTGCATTACTTTTCGAAGGTATACATACGAACAGTGCATGAGACAGTGCATGGAGGAGAGGGGAAAACCACAGGTATATGTACATCAAGAACTACTCACAAGAGCAAGACACAGCTGGAGAAGGCAGTCACGTGCAAAAGAAGGGAAACAGGGACTGGCTGACAATAAGGGTGTGGTAGGAAACCACAAGGGTGAATAACTAAGACTATAGACAACAGGTGTGCAGGGAACACTCTGGAGCAGTGGAGGACTAACAAGACTGATACAAAGCAGAAAACAAGCGGAAAATAGACAAAGGCAGGAAGTAAGACAAGATATGACACTTGAAGAGAGTGACCTTCAGAATAAAACATAAAATAAACCATAAGCAAAATCTATGATTGTGACACGTATGCATTATTTTAGTTATTAAATGTTATGTGTGCAACATTCACAGCATCAATATGGAAGTAAATCAGTATTTTGCTACCAGTGTTGCAGGTAGCGCTTTACAAAAGTACAGTAATAGATTACATTTTTGCAGTAACAATGTAATATAAAGCGTTACCTATTACTACATTTACAATGTTGCTTAATGCATTACCATCTGAAATAAACTGTTTTTTGTTTTCATTTATCCACACTGATCTACACCACTCCACTTCCACCAGTGTGCCAACAGTATGCCCCAAAGGTTACTGTGTGCTGTCATGTCATTACAGACTACATTATAGAAGGGTGCTGGTGATCAGCATATCTGGGTGTTGCCACATTGTGCCTTATGTTCGGATTGTTTCCATTAATACACCTGCAATGTCTACAACATATCCCATTCTGCTTTTGCATCCTAAGGCTGCCTGAATGCAGGGTTTTTTCCTCATCCCAACAATGGGCACATCTGGGTGATGTATGTATGATGTATGTGTAGTATGTGTTTGATGTGTTTCTATTCACATCCCCTACAGCTGCAGAGCAACACTGGCACACAGTCCTGTTTTTACCATAACTCTCTCTCCGTTGCTGCTGTAGCTGACTGGCACATGAGGAACCGACAGGTGGGACCTCCAGCTCTAGCATATTAATTTGTGCTCGTCATTGAGACTTATGGCATGCCATTCTGTTTGTTGTGCTAACCTCAACATTTGTTTATTGTGTTTCATATCATAGGCCCACAAATACTGATCTATATCTCATAACTATCAGACTTTGATCCTCTGCCTGACCCTCCCTGTTTCCAAGACTATTCATATTTAAAAAGGTCTACACTTAATGGTTCTATATCATCACGCTATTATTAAGATAAGCAGGGGATTTCATTACAGAGTGATTTTATTACAGAGTGGTACCCTCTGTATGTGAATGCATGAATGGGTCAGACTTGTGCAGCACTGGATTTGAACTGTAATAAATTGGAGCTTCTGTGCTTTGATCACCTACTGTTTGCTACATAAATATATAGTGGTGTAATGATGTCCTGAGCATTCATATAGATGTTAGGCTTCAGTTGGTCTAATATTCAATTCAGAGTATTATAGACCACATGTACTTGGCATTGTTGGGGGTCCTTTTTTTGCTATTAAAGTAGCCCAGATTATTATGGCATGGATTCAAATGTAACAGATTTGTCATTTAATCATTCATTCTGTGATCTCTACTCCAGCATAGTATGTAAAAAAAGTTTTTTAGATTAGTAATGCTGTTTACACCTAACTCCTACTCTAGCTATCAGACAATTTTTGTTTATAGATGGCAGGAATGAAAATTAGTCATCCTCAACAACTGTTACGGTGCCAGAATAATAAAGACAGTTGGAATACAATAAGATACAAATAGGATGTAGGTTCTACAGGATGATGTTTTTTTTTATCATGTTTTCTCCAAATGACGCAGATTTGTAGGCATACTATTATTTCTAATGACTTGAATATTGCATATAGCTGCTGTAAATGGGGGAAAACATCTTCCCAGGGAAGCATGTCTGAATGTTTACAACATCTGGCTCTGCCCCTGGTACCTGCTTCAATTATGGCAAGTTAAAGCAAGTAGAGGATTAATATTTAGTATCTGAGATGTGTTTTTAAATGCATTCATTCATACACTGGGCATCTATAAACATGATTTCCTGTTGTTGTTTTTTACAATACCAAAAGCGAAGCAAATTGTTTGATTAGTTGTATCTTCTCCCTTAAGTTCTCAGAAATCTATTCTGAGAAAAGCCTATCTGCAAAAGAGAGGACTTGTTTGAGTCTGTGCCTCATAAATGTGATAACCCAAGATAATGTGAAAAAGGATCTTTGGCAAAGCAAAGGGCAAATATTGATTTTGCATCGGCTATTATGCTGTTGTTTTTCCCTTTTAGGGATTTTTTACGCAAGAATATTCTGTATGAAAGATAGACAGGACACGTGTGTCTTCCACGTTGGTAGAGAGGATCAAACTACAGGTTAAAATAGCTTATGGCTGTAGCAGCTTTAACTAGAAAGATAATGTATTTGCTTTGGTATAAAACAGTAAAAGGAGAAGTTTTCTTTATGGACTTTGTCAGCACAGGCATTGATATCAGTATTGGCACTGCATGTCCCTATCAGTGTCAAGACACTGCTAAATTGCTCCCAACCAATATTTTTACCAATCTCAAATGTTCTTGTCATTTTAACTCCACATAGTGCTACCCGTATGATCAAGTTGCCAGGTTTGTGTGTTTTCTCAAAATAGTTGGCAATTTTAATGGAGAGTGAAAACTCAAGACATGTGGTTTCCTAATGTCTTTAGGTGACGAATGAATGGCAGCTTGAAGCAGTTAGTATTTAATATTTAAAGGTTTCACATATTATACAAACTCAAATCTAATAGTGATCTGGATGTTGCATTCAGACCATCTGCTTTGGAACACCCTGTCTAAGGATCTGAGCTTGGACAATCAGTAACATCTTTAAACCAACCAAAAAGGCTTTTACTAATGTTTATTTTATTCTCCTACTTCTATAGTTCATTGTAGTTTATAGTGAAAGTCAATTGTGATAAAACTGCAGTTGCTCAGTTCAGTTCCTTTGGATTTTGAAAAATGCCATAGGAACAGGACACCACATTCTTTATGATTCCCTTAAATTCATTGATGGATATTATGTTATATATATGTTTAAGGTGCGATTTTGAGGAAGTCCTTATTTTACATGATGGTATGGTCTTGCTGATTTTTGTATCTTATTTGTACTTGCACACATTTTATTAAAAATTGAAATAATAAATCTTGTAGAGTTTCTTTGGTAAGTGCCTTTACCAAAGTATAGGCATTATGTACTCCGTGGCCATCTACTACCACCAGGATGTATATGAGAAGTGAATGAGCACATTGATCTTCTAGCCTTGGTATTTAGGGTACTACTGAGATTTAATTCAATTTTGGTAACAGCATAGTGTGTGCATATGGCATTTCACCAATCATAGTGGGCCGCCATGGCCAAAAATGGCAGGGCTATTTTTTTGTCCCAGTCCAGCCATGGTTCTGCCAGTACGGTCAGGTGTACAAGCCTAACCCTGTTTGAGTTAATGCAAACCAGCTAAACCACCATTTGTCATTATAGAACATTCTGGCAAATTGAAAAGTAGCCTACATCAGCAAACTGTGTTGACAGCATCACAGCACTTAATGCAACTCATATTGCATTAGTAATAAGCAATATGAAAATGTGATTAAATTCACATTATGTTTGTAAACAGACTTACGGAGCCATTAGTGTCTGACCAGCTGTGTGCTGTTTCGTGCTAAGCCTATGCTGGTGCCGGCAACATGGAGGAGATCAAATTTAAGTAGAGGTGGGAGGGGGGTGAGCAGCATACGTTTTGTTTGTTTACAAGAAAGTTTGAGTGTTTTTTGGGGTGCCATGAGGAGACATGGCAGAGCTAATCTCTCAAGAAAACAAAGACTGCACCAATATAGCAACATTGTGGATATGAAGCAGATGAAAGACATGTCCTAACTGGCTGCAGGTGCCATTTTGAGCAGAACATTCGTCAGATGCCGTGTTTGTATCTATTTTTGTCATTCGCTTTGAAAGTGCCGCAATGGTTGAGGAACGGCTGATTCAGAAGGTTGAAATGTGGGGTTGCCTGTATGATACCTTTTCATTGCACTACAAAAACTTAAATAAGGTGGTAGCTGGCTGGGATTATAGTGCGGGAGAACTGAAAGTTTCTGATAAACTGAATGACTCACTAAGAACAAGCTAGGCTACTTGCTGTTGGCCATATTGTTTGTTATTTCCCGTAAATATCACAAGGTAAAACATGTTTTCTGTTTAAAAAAAAAAGTCACAAACATAGGATGATAGCAAAAAGGCTACACACCCATCTTTGAAGTAGGCTACTTATGTCTTTGGTTTGATCTTGAGTGCATAGCTGGTATTATGTGTTAGTTTACAGGAAGTAACAGAGGTGCATATTTAATGGATTCAGTGTGTCATTATATTCCACTCTAGAACAGCTGCTGAGTCAGGTGCAACACCTACTGTAGTGGTAAAATTTGGTATACCATTCTGGTCTGGTGTTTGGCCTAATTTTGAACAGGTTTGAAAATTTTCACACCGACCCAACCCTACCAGAAGCAATTTTATATTACCTGCTCAAGCCTCACACTATTCACAAGGCAGAACTATAGGCAAACTTTATCTGTTCACCAAAACATGTCAATGAAAGTGCAGTACAAAAGAGTGTAAGGGTAAAGATAAAGAGCATGCACGCTCAGAATGTTCCTTCAGTACAGGTTACAGTACAGTAACTTCACACCAAACAGCACACAGTTGCATTCATCAGAACAGCAGCTCCACTGGAAAGGTTTACTGACTCACTTGCTAATATCTAAATTACACAAAACAGTCAGAGGAGTCAAATCCTCACGAAGGATGGCCAGGCTACTGGGTGAACATCAGTGTCAAAATAAAAGCTAGCAGATAAAGGCTAAAAAGCACAAGAGACAGCGATGATGTTACCTTGTACATGTCTTCATATTTCAAGAAGAGGACATTGGAGTCCATACGATGTTCCCAAAATTCCTGAACATGTTCAAACCAGGAACCATATCCCACTTTGAAAGAGAGATAGAGATACAGCTGGATGAACTTACAGTACTATTGAGACAAAAGGAGTTCACTGACTTGAAACTGGAAGGAGGGTAACAGTGTCCCAGTCCTCCAGTAACCTACATACTTACGCTTGTCATTCATGAAGCGCCGGCAGAACTCCTGGAAGGTTCCCCGGTAGCTCATGGTCCTGAGAGAGCGGTGAAACTGGTAGTACGACACCACCAGGTCCTTAGGGTTACGTGCCATGTAAATCACCTAGAAGAGAACCACAACCATACTCGTCAGAGTCAGATACATAACATCAGTCCTAAATAATGCTGTTGTTGGAGTACATTCTTTTATTCATTTTCCGTAACCGCTTGTTATATTGACTGCTGTCATTAAAAGAAACACATGAACACCATGATTCCTTTAAGTGTTTGTGTTGGTGTCCGTGTGAAAACAAATAACTGCCTGTGTATCAGTTAGTCATGTTACCTTCAATTTGTGAAAAAAACTTTTTTTTGTGGCATGCCGTCATGGATAACAGCAAACATATTGATTTATTGATTGCTTGGAGGCCACATTTAAAAAACAGAAGAACTTTATCTAAACATGTGTTTACAAACTCTCACACAACTCCTGCAGTATAATCCAAGTCTCATTTATCCAGTTCTTAATCAGTTCTTCCTTAACACATGCATATTCCCTCAAACCTTACTATTGAAAATTAAGCGTAAAGTGAAACTTATCTATGCTCTCTTCGAAGCCGGACTCCAATACTATGTTTTAGCAAAAATACATGTGTTTGGTAAGTAACGAGCAAAAAAACTGGATGAATGAGACTTAAATTATACTGCACGAATAGTGTGAGTTTATAAGGATGTTTTAATATAGTCTTGCTTTTGTTAAATGTGGTCCCCAATCAATCTATATATTAATATGTCTGCCATTTTTTATGTAAGTATTTGAGAAAAACAAAGTTTTTTATGAATTCAAGGTAACATGGCATGACTAATTAATTTACAAATGGCCATTGTGTGGATGAAGCATTCCTTTAATGCAATGAATAGTCATGGCCAGTGTTAATGTGCTGTCCAGTGTCAGTGAGCTGACCTTGGCCTCTCCGTTGTGCATGGCTGTAGGGAGGAATCGATAGGGAAGATGGCTTTTGATCAGACGAGGGGATGTCAGCTCCTATGGAAACACAAAGCAAGTTACTTCTTATCAGTCCTGCAGAATGCTCTGGAACTGACAGGTGTGTCTTCTGCTCAAAAAGTTACATGCACAAAACACAGAGCTCCATTTCTTGGAAAATGTGATCAACTTTTACACTCAAGGAATATGGTTGGCCTTTGAGGCTTTCAGTGATATTTGGTAAAGAAAAAAAAAAAAAACCTAATGAAACTCTAAAAAACAAAGATGTGATTCCACATTGTAAAAAGTACAGACAGAGTCAATAAATCAACTCCATTTAAAATCCAAATGGCAAGGATGATGTGTTTGAGAAGTTCAAGTTTGCTAATGTTGGCTCTGAATCTGTCTTGTATAGTTGTTCCATGCCTATACGTCTAATTTGTTCCCTGTTTTTTTGTTATACTGCAACATGCAATGTAAAAATTGCAGCCATAATGCTAACACTTATTTGTTTGTTTGTTTGTTTTCGACCTGAATGATTAATTTTGAAGGTGTATGGTATGGTAAATAACAAAAATGAAACCTATACCATAGGCTGACAGATGAGGTTAGACAGTAATCTCCATGGACTATGATGTTTGCGGATGACATTGTGATCTGTAGTGAGAGCAGGGAGTAGGTGGAGGAAAATCTTGAGAGGTGGAGGTATGCCCTGGAAAGGAGGGGGATGAAGGTTAGCCATAGCAAGACAGAATACATGTGTGTGAATGAGAAGGACCCTAGTGGAACAGTGAGGTTACAGGGAGTAGAAATGAAGAAAGTGGAGGATTTTGTACTTAGGGTCAACAGTCCAGATCAATGGAGAGTATGGAAAAGAAGTGAAGAAATGTGTGGTGAGACCAGTGATTGATTTGGTTTAGAGACAGTGGCACTGAGGAAAAGACAGGAGGCAGAGCTAGAGGTAGCAGAGATGAAGATGTTGAGGTTCTCTTTGGGAATGATGCTAAACCTAAAGCAGTTTTGATGATGAAACCTGTGTTTCCTGTGAACATGGAGGTTTGTTTTAAACAGACTATGCCTATAACCTGTGGAAACTGACACGTACAAAACAAGCCCCCAGGAACAGTGCCAGGCTTTGAAGCCTATTTAAAATAGTGGCCAAACCTTGGAATTACAACGTTTTTCATGTGATGCCCTGTACCCCAAAAAGGCTTTTTTTCTGATAGACTTACATTGTGAAAGAGACATCTGTAGATTAGTGGATAAATATTTTTGTAACATCAACACTTGGAAAATGACTCCTTTACTATCAGAATTTGATCCATTCAGTCCAATATTTTGAAAGTCTAGAAGACATGCACGATTAAATAATTTTAACATCATTCAAGTTAGCGAAGTGCTAAACCTGAACTTAGCCCCCACCCTGCTGTATGACCCCCCAAAAATGGAAACAGAGCGAAAGATCTGGGTAATTTCATACACAGGAGTCAAACTTTTTTGGCCTCATGCGACACTGAGCAACTTTCATAGGAATGAACGGGGCCCTGCCTCCAACGCTGTATCCAGTTTTGTTCATCCAAGGCCCAAAACTGACACTAGAGGGGTACCTAGAGTGTCACAGCTTGATGTGTGGGGGGCACTGTCCAAGCTGCCATACTTGACGAGTTGGGCACTGTTGCAGTCTTCTTAAAGAGGTACTCCAGTGATTCAGTATTACACTACTATACAGTTTGGGGACTTGTCAGAGTCAAAATTGAAGTCACAGAAGCTGAGATATCCTGACATTTATGCCTATGAATCAACCTTGAAACATAAAAAATAATCCTTCCCTGTGTGGTAAATGTTGACATCTTTAAAAGACCACCCCCTGGTTTGTAACTCTTTCTGTTATAAATATGTGGCTGAAGCTGTGATGGCATCATCAGGGATTCTGTTTATAAGAAAGAAAGCCTGTGCAGAGTCACAGAAGACACTATACAACTGCTGTTACAGTCCCCATCATTAGTCTTTTCAGACCTTTTCCCACACAATTCAAAGTGCTTCAACCGTTGCCCGTGTAGAGGGATTTTCTCCAAAAACCTGACACGTGTTAAACTTTTGCAATCTATGTTGCAATACAGATTGAACTGGAATAGACAGTCACATGTATGCTAATACTTTGTATGCTTCAGGGTAGACCAAAGAATTATTGCTGCAATTAAGAACTTTCCAGACTCATGGGTCAACAACTTTTGTTTGATCAAATCCAAAGATATAAATCATCCAACAGTGGCTTGGTATGTGATCAGCCTTTAAACCCCCTCCAAAGAAAATCAAGTTTTTAATTTGGATAACTTTTCCATACAGTGTCTTTTATGTGCTTCAAGATATATCAACAAAATAATTAGTCAACACCATGGCTGAACATTTTCCCCTTGGAACTTGGAATTTGGAACTGCAGTCAATTTATAACAGCCTCAAATACACAGCAAGAGTTTGTTATATCACAAACCTAAGGGACCAATTGCATCAGCTTATAGGGTGGGGCTTTCCATATCATTAGCCAAATGCTACGTCAAAATGAGGCGTATCACAGAAGATGCCAGGTGTACTATAGCTATATAACATATTTTGCTAGTTAAGTTTACTATTACTTTAACTTGTCAGATGTGGAGCTCGAGACCTTTATTTAACTTTAGCAACACAATATTAACTGCTTGATAACGCAGTCAAGCCAAAAGCTCATGTTATCTATAACTTCTAACCTTGTAGTGAGCTATGAGTAGAGTTGAAGGTGAGCAGGTACGCTCATGGATAGATTACTGAATAGGCCCACCAGGCATAAGCCCAGGGGACCAAAGTGTCAGGGGCCTTTATCTGATAAATTTCACTCAAATTTACAAGTATCAACCAATAAGGGACTCAAAATGATCACAAAGAGATGCAGAGTAACTACAAAGAGACACAAAATGACTACAAAGAGAAACAAAACAATGCAAAAAGACACAAACTGACCTTTAAAGGAGCACAAAACAACAAATTAAGACATGAAAAGGGACTACAAAGAGACACAAAGACTACAAAGGGAAACAAAACGACCCAAACAGACACAAATATACCTCAAAGAGACACAAATTGGCCCCTTTTAATAAACACAAAACAACAACAAACTGACCTTTAAAGGAGCACAAAACACCAAATAAAGATATGAAAAGGAATTACACAGAGACATAAAACGACTGCAGAGAAACAAAACAACCCAAAAAGACACAAATATACCTCAGAGAGACACAAAACCACAAAAAGATGCAGAAAACTACAAAAAGATGCAAAACAACAACAAAAAAAAGGAAAATCCACCACAAAGTCTCTGTGTCTTATTCCTATATAGGAGAGGTGGTGGGGCCTTTTGCATTTCTGTGCCCAGGGGCCCACTGTCTCATAATCCACCCATGGGTAAGCCTGACCTGCAGGCTTGCGGCTGACAGGTGGGTGGAGATAGAGGCAGAGATACACTTGCAAATTCATAGATCTGCACAAATAAGATGAGACGAAGGTGTTGAGTGTTGGACTTTTTCAAGGAAAAACAACTTGTAAATATGTCATTTTGTTGAACAGAGATGAGTTTTTAGGGGTTTAATCAATGTCCAAGGAGGAACTTTAAATCAACCTTGCTTTTTCAACAGACAGTCCTTGTAATTACAAGAGAGGCTAGCATTGTTTTGATTGGGCTGTTGTAAAATTGAGATCAGCATCCTCTCATATTTCCCAAGTAAACAAGGTGTTGGTTTGTTCTCGTGCTGCTGAGCCCAGCAAAAGGCATACCCATGGTGACAATTCTTTATTCCACCAACTAGCAAACCTTAACCTAAAAGCCCCCACTGAGTCAGACCTCCTGCAGTCCAGAAATGACCATGCAGGCTAAAGAACTGAAGCACTGCTAACTTGATTTCAGCTTCATTACCTGTATGATGTCCAGGCCAGGTTGGGGGTATTCTAAGACAGGCAGCTGTTCATCAATGTTCATAAGGCCGATTTCATCTGGGTCTGCTCCCTGACTCACGAGATACACAACCTCCTGAAGAAGACTGGTGCCTAGAAGGTGAGAACCAGAGGTCAATCAGTCTGGGGATGTCAGAAGGAGAACAAGGGAAGTGAATGTACACAGGGGATGAACCTAGAAGAAATGTTAGCCATTAGTAATAAGGTGGTGATAATATGTCAGTGTTGTGTTATCTGCTTATTCTACTGTCCCCAAGTGCCCCCCCAAAAAATAGCAATGGTGGCTGCTACTCCACTGATTTAGTATTGCACTCCATTACAGGAAAAACGAACATTATCATTTTTGTTATTCAACACATTCTTCTTTCTTGTCGAAATGTGGTGCCTAAATTATCCATAGTGCAAATACGCCACTGAAAAATAAGCACTTGTTTATTTTTCCCACATTTTCAGCCGGCTTTGTCATTCAGTCCGAATCTTGCTGCTGTTACCAACAGTCACTTATCAAGTAAAAATACCAATCAATCAATCAATCAATCAATCAATTTTATTTATAAAGCCCAATATCACAAATCACAATTTGCCTCACAGGGCTTTACAGCATACCACATCCCTCTGTCCTTAGGACCCTCGCAGCAGATAAGGAAAAACTCCCCAAAAAAACCCTTTAACGGGGGAAAAAACGGTAGAAATAAAGGGGTTAATAAAGGGGTTTTTTTGGGGAGGTTTTCCTTATCCGCTGCGAGGGTCATAAGGACAGAGGGATGTTGTATGCTGTAAAGCCCTGTGAGGCAAATTGTGATTTGTGATATTGGGCTTTATAAATAAAATTGATTGATTGATTGATTGATTGAT